AGCCTCTTGGGCTTGCCGATCAGAAGGTTGCCTGTTTGAATCCCCGTGACAGAATGAGCTCCCGTTGCTCTGTCCCAGCTCCTGCCAAACGTAGCAGTTTGAAAGCACGCCAGTGCAAGTAGGTAAATAGGTACCATTGAGGCGGGAAGGTAAACCGTGTTTCCGTGCGCTCTGGTTTCTGTCACAGTGCCAGAAGCAGTTTAGTCATGCTGGCCACATGACCCGGAAAGCTGTCTGTGGACAAACGCCAGCTCCCTCAGGGCACCGCAACCCCATAGTCGCCTTTGACTGGACGTAACTGTACAGGGGTCCTTTACATGTTTATTATTATTATTGCTAGGGGAGCTTTCCACTCCATGGATGGGGCAGGACCAAGACCCATTGCGACTTTCTCCCCTTCCTTGGCCTCTAAAGGCAAAGGGACAATGGTGCTTTCCTCCCTCTCTCGCTGCTCCTCAACTATCAAATCCTCCATATCGTCCTCTGGTAGCAACTGACACTCTAATCCTGAACTGGACAGGATCGCAGAGCTCATGACACCTTTTTTTTAAAAATGTGCATTTGTAGCCAATTTCATGGCTTTGATGTATGTTTTGCATGTACTTAGCTGTGTCACGAGGTGATAAATTTGTACGTGTGGACCGATCCCAATCACTTATACACAATCGCTGTTTGCTGAGGTCTGGAACAGATGTAAATTTTCCCAAGAAATGCTAACAGCAATATTAAGTATAATGGCTTCCCGTGGTGCCAGCTCTGTAAATAAAGAAGAACGGGTTGTACTATTCCCTCCCCAACCCCAGCTGTTTAGCAAATGATGCAATAGGTGGCCTGAGACCCAGCTGCCGGCCCCTACATCCAGTCATGAACAAAGAAAAAGGGGTGCAACTCCTAGGAACTTCCAGCCTGTGGCCATATATGTTGATATGTGGGTCTTGGTGGGTAAGGAAGGATGGCAAAAAGCTGAGGGAGGAGTCGACTGGAGGCAGAGCCAACATGGTATGTTATTTATATAGTTAAAGGGACCCCTGACCATTAGGTCCAGTTACGGATGACTCTGGGGTTGCGGCGCTCATCTCGCTTTATTGGCCGAGGGAGCCGCCGTAGAGCTTCCGGGTCATGTGGCCAGCATCACTAAGCCGCTTCTGGCGAACCAGAGCAGCGCACGGAAACGCCTTTTACCTTCCCGCCGGAGTAGTACCTATTTATCTACTTGCACTTTGATGTGCTTTCAAACTGCTAGGTTGGCAGGAGCAAGGACTGAGCAACGGGAGCTCACCCCGTTGTGGGGATTCAAACCACCGACCTTCTGATCAGCAAGTCCTAGGCTCTGTGGTTTAACCCACAGCGCCACCCGCGTCCCATGTTATTTATATAGGGGCTGCCTATATATATATGGTATTTTACAATGCGCCAGGTATAGTAGCTTTGCTTCTCGCAGTGAGGGAACCGCCAGAAGGCCCTCAGAGCTGGACCTCAGTGTCTGGGCAGAATGATGGGGGTGGAGACGCTCCTTCAGGTATACTGGACTGAGGCCGTTTTGGGCTTTAAAGGTCAGCACCAACACTTTGAATTGTGCTCGGAAACGTTCTGGGAGCCAGTGTAGGTCTTTCAAGACCTGTGTTATGTGGTCTCGGCGGCCACCCCCAGTCACTAGTCTGGCTGCCGCATTCTGGATTAGTTGCAGTTTCCAGGTCATCTTCAAAGGCAGCCCCACGTAGAGCGCACTGCAGTAGTCCAAGCGGGAGATAACTACAGCATGCACCACTCTGGCGAGACAGTCTTATGATTCTACGATTCTGGGAGCCCCACAGAGCAGGATCGGCGGGGGGAGGGACAACTTACTTCCCTAGAAAAACTTTCTGAGTACCGAAGGAGAAGTAACTCCACCACTTCCACGGCTGCCCCATCTCCTTGACTTAGAAACGGGGTGGAGTGGGAAACTGAGGTCTGGGAGCTGAATGTGGCCCCCCAGGCCTCGCTCTCTGGCCCTCTTTAGACCACACCCCTCACCCGCCCTGCTTCCTACTGTCCTTCAGTCTTTTTGCCTGACTGGAATGTGTCCTTGAACTCTGACCATGCCTCTTGCTTGCCTATACAGAGAAGGGTGCGGGTTTGTAGAAACTAGCCTACTGTATAAAGGTAATGTGTATAGCCATTGCTTTGCCCACTTTGGCCTCTAGCACCACCCATTACTAGTATTTGGCCCCTGGGACATTGCCCTGAAGGGAATGTGGACCTCAGGCTAAAAAGCTTTCCTCACTCCTGATGTCAGGGAGCCAGCCAGCAATAAATCACACAGTGTATGTAATGTTTACTCTTTATTAGAGGAAGCCGGGCCTTCTCAGTAGGTCTTGCTCCTGCGAGGCAGTTGTGGAGGCTTTCCACAGCTCCTCCTCTCCCAGGTGCTTCCCAAGCAATCTGAGACTATGCCAACGCACCTCTTCATACCTCTTTGCTCCTCCCTCTTCATACCTCTTCTGGTCCTGGGAGGGGAGCTTGTCGCATCAGGAGGGGGACACCCTGGCTTCTTCACCAGCCTGATTCATATCTGCCTCTTGACTCCGCTCCTCTCTCGTTTCAGCTTCTGGACTCCTTTCTGCCACAGACTCTCCCTGCTCACAGGGTTCTGTTCCCTCTTCAGCTTCTGACACGACCTCCTCCCTGGCTTCTCCCTCTTCTCCCTCTGACAGTAGTCCCACCACCACTCCCTGGGCTCTGAACCTTCTTCCCTTGGGGGTGTTCCCAGCTGGAGCCTCCTACCATCCCTCTGTGTCTAGCAAGTCCTTGACACCTGACTTGGAGGCAATTATTTGAAGATGGTGGCCCAAGGCCAATGTGACCAAGAAGCAAGCTTGGCCACAGGCAACGTCTCTATTTCCGTTGTCCTTGGTGGGCAAGAGAGATCTGTCGGAGGCTGAGCTCCTGGCTCATCATCTGTGACCTCTGGAGCGACCAACGGCACGCAGCATCTTCCTTCTCCAGGAAGACCTTTCCCTGCAAGCCTGCAAAGCACTAGCAAGCCCTTTCCAAAGGGAGTGGAGGGAGCCTTCCTTGCTGTGCATTGCTCCGCAGTGACAGTAATGCACAGGATTACAGAGCAAAGATAGATTTTACTGGAAAGATGAAAGGAAATTGCATCTTTAATAATTTAACTTGGGCAGTTTGGAGGGAGCCGCCAGGTTGTGGTCTTGGTGCCGTCAGAAAAATCCCACCATCTGTTCCTGGAAATCTGGCTGGCTCCACCGCCCAGCCAGAAAGACCACAGGAGGCTCTGTTTTCTCATTAAAAAGGGACAGTGAATACTCCACCGTGTCTAGACCAGGGTGAAAGGTTAAAACGCTCCAATCCCTGGAACATGTTAAAGTGATATCCCTGGCCAAAAGGGAGGTGGGGGAAAGATATGATAGAAAAATGTAAATGAATAAATAAAACTAATCTATAGAGCTGGAACTGACACAGGCAGATAAGAGTGGTTCTTTTTGTCTCCGTTAATAACCGTTGAATCCTGTTTTATCTTCCAATGCTGCTACTTACGTTTGAATCTGCTTTATGGTCTATGCGTTGTGAGGTTAGTTCTGTTAGATGCCCTTTACGCCTGTGGAGATGAGTCTGAGTTGGTCACTGGCAAAGGTGACACCTGATCCGGAGCAAACCACAATTTCTCCACTTGTCTTTTTTAGTTGTTGCGGAAGCCTAGTCAAAACGTCTTCCTTGCATCGCATCAAAAAAGAAGAAGAAGAAAAAGGCCTATTTTTTTTCATAAACCTTCCCTCTGAATAGATGAGTTACAGCGATCACGGCAATATGAAAACAAGGTTACTAACGGAAACGGTTTGTAGACAGCAGCACACATCTCTAGCTCGTAAAAGGATGTTTTCAGATATTGTGGCCACACAAACCAGCTCTTTCTGCATCAAAGACTACAGATGGCTAAAAGCAAAGTGTCTCTGTGATTGAATACAATTTCTCTTGTCAACACCTTTTTGAAAGTCTAAGGAAACAACATCTCTTGGATCACCTCTATTCACATGCCTGGTGACCCTCTCAAAGAACTCTAAAAGGTCAGTGAGGAAGGATGTATATTTGCAGAAGCCATGCTGATTCTTCTTCAGCAAAATTTATCCTTCTGTGTGCTTGATAGTTTTATCCTTTAATACTTTTCGCCAATTTACCTGAAAATAACATTAATCTAACTAGGCCTGTAGTTTTCTGGATCAACCCCAGATCCCTTTTATAAAACAGGCTCTACGGCAACCATTTCCAAGTCCTTTGGTAGAGATATTGATCTGTTAACTACTTTTATTACAAGATCAGCATTGCCATATTTGAGTTCCTTAAGAACTGTTGGATAGACGTCATGTGGGCCTCGTGATTTGCTTGTCTTTAATTTATCCATAAGGTCTGGACCTTCATCTTTTGTCAGTACCGTTTGCTTCAGTTCCTCAGACTCCATTCCTGAAGATATATTTGCCATTCATCTTCTGCAGTGAAGTCAGATGCAAAAACAAACCAACATTCAGTTTTTTGGCAATCTTATGTGTTTATTCTCTGTTAGCACATCTTTCGCTCTCTTGCTATCCCATGGCCCAACTGCCTCCCTAGCTAATCATCTGCTTTGGATATATTTAAAGATTTTATTTTTATTGCTGGTCTCAATCAGGAGCAGATGGCGTGGTGGGTTGGCAGTGCTCACCTGAACTCCAGGTAATCACTGATGCCTACCAGGAGGGACAGTGGGAGGCGCCTGGTGGTGGGAAGATCTGTGCTGTGCAGATGCACTGGGAGGAGCTGGTGGCACTGTGGTCTAAACCACTGAGCCTCTTGGGCTTGCTGATCAGAAGGTCGGCGGTTCAAATCCCCGCGATGGAGTGAGCTCCCATTGCTCTGTCCCAGCTCTTGCCAACCTAGCAGTTCAAAAGCACACCAGTGCAAGTAGATAAATAGGTACCGCTGTGGTGGGAAGGGAAACAGCGTTTCCATGCACTCTAGTTTCCGTCATGGTGTTCTGTTGCACCAGAAGCGGGTTAGTCCTGCTGGCCACATGACCTGGAAAGCACATGGAGTTGCGAGGGAGGAAGGGGACATCCAACTAGCCTAATCAACCCTGGTAATCGATGGGGTGACAGATGTCACAGCCAAATCGCCCTCACATCCCCGAGTCTTTCTAGTTTGTTTGGGTGGGTTATTGGTTTGCTTTTATTATGTATTTTGTGTTCTCATTTTGTATTTTTATGTTTTGAGCCACCCTGTGATTTTCGGATGAAAGGCAGTATACAAATTTAAATAACGACAACAACTTCCCCTTTAAAACAAGGCATATTAGGTTGTTTTTTAAAAATATCTGCTTTTATTGTTTGTAAGTCACTTTGAATTGTGTGTATTTTTAAGTGACTAATAAATGTAATTAATAATACTGGCAACTTCAGGGTGCTCAATTAAAGTTTGTTTGGTGCTCGTGTGCAACAAACCTGTTTCCCCAAAAGATTGGACATTTTCCGATAAGGAAAGTGATGGGAAAATGCACTTGCTTGATCCAGGGGTCAGCAAACTTTTCCAGCAGGGAGCTGGTCCACTGTCCCCCAGACCTTGTGGGGGGCGGATTATATTTTATTGGGGGGGAAATGAACGAATTCCTGTGCCCCCACAAATAACCCAGAAATGCATTTTAAATAAAAGGGCACATTCTACTCATGTAAAAACACAATGATTCCTGGACCGTCTACAGGCTGGATTTAGAAGGTGATTGGGACGGATCCGGCCCCGGGCCTTAGTTTGCCTACCCAAGGCTTGATGCATCATCTAATCTCCCTGCAATAAACAGGCTGCTGGCAAGTGACCCTAGACTTCCTCCAGAAAAGACAAGACCTACCTTTTCACCATGCTGCTGCAACTCCCCTCTTCATGACAGTAACGTGTGGTCCTTCATCCATGCCTAACAGTGTGCACTGTGAGGGGAGCAGCTCTGCTGCTGTTCACCCTCCTTTTAAAAAAAAATGAAATAAAGGATTAAGCTAGATATCTGATCCACTTTCAGAAAACATTTGTACCGATTAGCTGATTGGAAGGAATATTGGATGGGTGAGATTATGTGCTTGTCCGCACTTTGTCCCATGACCAGAAAGCGGGGGTCCAACCTTTGCCCTCCCGAATTCCACTGGAAACCCCACACTTTAGTGAGAAATCAGAAGAAAGAAAACCCAATTGCTGTTTGCTCCGATTCATCCCTAAACCGCGGGTTTTCTGGGGGTGGAGCGTGGAAGGGCAAATGAATGTGTGGACATGGGCATAACCAGGATCAATGGGTTTTTTTGGAGGGGGGCACAACCAAGCTATCTGCGATGTGATTGGTTCATTAGTTTTTTTTATTACTTACTTGATTGGGGCCCCCCTTGGCTATGCCCTAAATGAGGGCATACAAGCCCTGAATCCTGGAGAATTCCAGCTTTGTGTACTCTGTGTTGGCTGCTGAGGCTGGCTGTGTTCATAGGACCCCTTTGGCCCCCAATAAAATATTTGAGGAGTCCCCTCCCCCCCCAGTTGTTGGGCACTGCCATTCATATGGTGTGTGCACAACATCATGTGATCGTTTATGCTGGGAGGGGCTTACCTGCCCCCCTCCCAATATTTTATTCAAGTTGGATGGGCTCTTGTGCGGAGAGCATCTGTTCTGCCCCTGGCTTGACTGGGGCGAGCGTGTAGAAAGGGCACACATTTTTTTAGCATGGTTGCAGAGAGAAAGGAGACAAAACACGACAGAGACAAAAAGGATGCGAGTGCTGGATGTTCCTTCTTTGTTGCCTAGAAGGAAAGCAACGCCAAGACTGAAGGACAAACGCATAGGCCATGAATAGGAGTACATTTTTTTCAGAGTCACTACAATGACTGCCTTTTCCTTGAACTCTATCCAACACCAGGTTGAATATAATAGATCACACAGATTAAAGGAAAACACTTCTGAGTAAGAACGATTGGGTTCTTTTGCATGCAGAAACACAAAGTGCCTTTTTCTTTTTTGTTTTCAAATGCACCTGGGCGCATGTTCAGGGATGCTCAAGCGTGGGAGGGGAACATTATCCCTGCTATTGTACGCCTCTCTATGGCCCAGTTTAGACGTTCACTGAATCACAAGGCAACACTTTTCCTGGGCTGCACCTGCCCTGTCTTCAGGCATGTTTGAAAGATCTCCTGCAAGAAGGAAAAGCCGTCCTGTTAATGGAAACATCCCATGACCAAGAGGAGGCTATGTAACTGTTCAGTTCCTTCAAGTTTCCTGTGTGCAGGTTGGGAGAGCATTCAAATGTACAAATGGCCTCCTGTGGCTTGATGTGATGCGGTCCAGGAAGAGGCAGTTTGATTCATGTTATGGGCTGTATTCAGCCCTGCCAATAACATCCAGCATTTAGCAGTTAAGAGTTTTGGGAGATCTCCACTCAACGGTGAAGCTCAATAGGTGGCCTTGTGCCAATTACTCAGCTGAACCTACTGTATTTTTCGCTCTATAGGACACACTTTTTCCCCTCCAAAAATTAAGGGGAAATGTGTGTGCGTCCTATGGAGCGAATGCAGGCTCCTTGGCTTCAGCGATAGCAACGTGAAGCCTCCGAAGCGCAGAGGGAGCTGCTCCCCTCCTGAAGTCTTTGGAGTGCAGCGGGAACTCGCGCTGCGCTCCGAAGGCTTCGGGTTCCTTTTGCTGAAGCCGGGAGAGCAAGACTCTCCTGGCTTCAGCAGAGAGGGAGAGCTGTGCAGCGCCCCTTCAGCCAAGCAGGAGGAGAAATGGAAGGGGCTCCGTTTCTCCTGCCGCTTCACTGAAGGGGCACTGAGCAGAGAGGGGAATTTTTTTCCCCTTGTTCTCCCCCTCTAAAACAAGGTGCGTCCTATGGTCAGGTGCGTCCTGTAGAGCGAAAAATACGGTACCTCACAGCATTGTTGTGAGAATAAAATGGAGAGTGGAAGAATTATATACACCAGCCCTTGAGCTCCTTGGAGGGAGGGTGGGATTGATTAATATGCAATAATACTAGCAGTAACAGTAATGATGTGGGCTGGTTCAGGGAAGCCCACTGCTAAATCAAATCAAATTCAGAGATTGCACTTGTTAAATGGTGGCACTTCTCTGTCTGCCAGAACACACACCTGTAATAGAATTGGAGAGTTGGAAGGGACCCTGAGGATAATCTAGTCCAGCGGTTCTCAACCTGTGGGTCCCCAGATGTTGTTGGACTACAACTCCCATCATCCCTGAGCTCTGGCCTTGCTAGCTAGGGATGATGGGAGTTGTAGTCCAACATCATCTGGGGACCCACAGGTTGAGAAAGGCTGATCTAGTCCAATGCCTTGCAATGCACGAATACGCAGCTGCCCCGTACGGGGATCGCACCAGCAACCTTGGCGTTATCAGCACCACGTTCTAAACCACCAAGCTATGAGTGACCCAATATCTAAGCTGTGAAATTTTGCACCATCACCACCAAAGGCAGACTGGGAGTTGTAGTTCATGGAAGGTCTTCTCCCAGGGAAAAAAAAAGCATTCTCATGTTCCCGGGAGAAGCATAGCGGCCGCTAATGCACAACACAACTTGTTTTAGCCACTCTTAAAAGTGAAGAAATGGTTCCATCCGGACCCAGGGTAGGGTGCATTCCTACCGCTGCCCAGAAGCCAACAGAACAGCCAGAAGGATTTGGGATAGCACATATTGTCCCTGAGGAGCCCCTACCCCCCAGTACACCTGTGGAAAGTTCAGTCATCATAAATGTAATAATGGTGGATTTCCACGAGAAGTGATGAATGGATGAGGAAAGGACATGTTGGGATGGCCTTGAAAATGTAGCTTTCTGGAATTACCAACAAAGGAAGAATGGCAATTGAAGCTAATGGAGTAAGCAGAACTGGCCAAAATGACAGGAAGAATCCGAGAACAGTGGGACCAAAAGTTCATCAAGGACTGGACTAAATTTGTAAATTATTTGAAAGACAATTGTATTCAATCAAATACGTTGGTAGGATGGCAAGCAGCTTTGTAAGGAAAGGTACAAAAACCACTGCAGATAAGAATAAGAATGTATGATGTTTTCATGTTATTGATTTTAAAGCAATGGTCAAGTAGTGAAAATGCAGAAATTTGAAATGAAAGATAGGAAATCATAAGGAAGGTTTGAAGGAAGTCAGGGCCCTAAAAAGCCAACGTGTGTAATATAAGAGGAGACATTGCAATGTAAAAATAATAAAAATGATATGAAAAAAGAAAATAAAAAAGAGAAAATGTAGCTTTCAAAGCCACCCACGATGCTTTGTTTTCTAGCTTAATGGGGCTTACTCTATGGTAAATGGAGATAGGATTGCTGTCTAAGGTTGTTTAATTGTGTGATGGTTTCGGTAGCATGCTCAGCCCTCTCCACTGCAATTGAAAGGGACTGTTGTAAATGTCTGTGCGTGCTTGGTGCGTGGTGAGCATTTAAAGACTGGAGTCGCTGGGAGCAGATTATGGATGCTTCTTGCTGGATCAAGCACACAAATGAACAATACAGTCCGTTCCAGCTGTTCTAAAAGTGAAAAAATGGCTCCATCCAAGCCCAGGGGTTTTGTACTTTTTTTTTTTTGCTGTAATGGCTTCCTTTCTCTCATTCTTCGTTCCAAGCCAAACAAAATAAGCAAGTCTTTTAAGACCACCAGAACTGATACCACATATCAACAGAGATGGCAAACTGTCGAGCTTGAAACTTTTATTACTCAGATGATGTATTTTATAGCATACAGCGGTTCGGGATGTTCCATAAACAAAACTGAATTGCCATGAAGAATTGTCCTCTCCCTTCCCTTAACAGTCTATTAAATGTTGGAAATGATGGGAGCGTTTTCTCCCCAGCCGCCTTCCTCTTATTACAAACATCTAAGTCTCCCCAGTTCCATAATGGTTTTTTTTTTTAATTTTTTAACAATATTTTTTAAACAAAAGCACTTAAAAAAACCCAAAATATGATAAATGATTAAATTAAATGTTGGTTTTCAAACAAAATAAATACATTATTTTATTTTTTTTGCAATTAAAAAAAATCGTTAACGTAACTCTGTGTTCTAAAGGAAACCACTGCTCCATACTGATTTTTTTTTGACACAGGATTTTGATAGCTTAAATGTTAACTTAATTCTGCAGACC